CAGGGTGAGGAGGAGGAGGCTGAGGGGAGCCCTCATCCCTCTCTGCAGCTCCTGACAGGACATTGCAGAGAGGCCGGGGCTGGGCTCTGCTCCCAGGGGATCAGGGACAGGACAAGAGGGAACGGCTGGAAACTGCCCCAGGGGAGGGTCAGGCTGGGCAGGAGGAGAAAATGTTTCCCAGCAAGAGTGGTCCGAGAGTGGAACAGGCTGCCCAGGGAGGGGGGAGTCCCCATCCCTGGGGGGGTTTCAGGGCCGTTGGGATGAGCTGTGGGGGATGTGGGGTGGGGGAGAGCTTTGTGGAGTCGGGCTGAGGGTTGGACTCGCTGATCCCGAGGGGCTTTTCCAACCTGAAGGATTCGGGGATTCTAAGATCGTGTTAGCCATGGAGATTTCCTTCAGGTTGCTACTTGACAAAAATTCTGTATCTCAAAGACCTGGAATATCAGAGTAGTCATTTTCTTAACAAGGCAATAGCAGCATCCTCCAGCAAAAGGTTAAAGTCCAAAATTGTCCAGGAAACATCTCATCTGCCACTGATTCTCCCTGCAAATCTCTGCCTTAGCTAAGAAATTGCTTGTTGAGCGTCTGAATTCTCAGACACCTTCAATTCTGCTTGTCTGTAAAGCAGCACACGGACCTTCCCTGGGCTGTCCAGCTCCTACCTAAACTGGGCTGGGCTGTAACTATAGATGTTCTGCCATTTCAGTCTTCCAAAAAGTTTGTTGGGCCGATGTTCTCCAGCATACCTGGTTTGCTAGCCGATGGAGGCTCTCACAAACGCACTGGGCTGTGGTAAGGTGTGCTAACTGCCTTTTGAGAGCTTGAAGCACTGGGTGGAATGAAGTTTATTTGCCAAAGTCTGATTTTTTTTTTGTTGTTTTTTTCCACTCCTGGACTGTGTAGGCAGGTTTCTTGTACGTGGCTGTTGAGCTTGGATCAGTCTGTCGTGTTGATTAGGACAGGCTGTGCAGCGCAGCCGCTCTGTGATGGCTTCAGCTCTCCTGCGTGGAGAGCAGTTCAGAACACCACTACCTGTTTTGATGATCTTTTCTTCCCCAGGCTCTCGGAATCCTCTTTCAAGGTTCACGTGGAGAAGCTGAGCTTGGAACAACGCAAGACGGACAGACGCAGGGAGCTCTACCTCATCCCTCTGGAGATAAAGCTGAAACACAGCACTGTCCACATGGATGAGCACTGTCCTCTCCTGGCACCCAACCCCGGAGTTTCTGCCATCCACAGCTACGCTGACTGGGTTAGGAAGGCAGCCGAGGATCCCGCTGGGACCGAGAGTGAGTATGGAATAACTGGTTTCACAAGGGGGATAACCTGGAGCAGTGCCCACTTCGGATGAACTCCAAGTTGCATCTGAGTGATAAAATGAGAATAAAAGAGAAAAACTGACTGTACCTCAGTGTTCTTTCTGGAAGCACAAACATGGTTGGTGGCGTTTGGGGGGCTCGCTGACTTCCTGCATGGACTGGTGACAGCGGGATAGCCTTTAAGATACCCTGCACGGTTACGGTCGTAATCTTCGATGAGTCCTGTCTAAATATTCTTCTGTACGTTTTCCCTCCCGATGACTCTGTCCTGACAGCTGTTGTGAAACACTGGTGCTTGGCGTGGACTTTATGTGAAGCAATTTGGGGGAACTTGAAGGAGTTAGAAGCCAGCTTGGAGGAGCCCAGCGAATACATCCTGGCCCTGGAGCGCAGGAAAGCCTTCTCTCGCTGGCTCTCGGAGACGGCGGCGGCACGCATTGAGGAGGAGCTCTCACTGTCCCGCCACGGCAATCACGTAGAGGCTGTGTTCAGCTGCCTTACTGGGAAGAGAATCGGTGAAGCTTGCAGGCTGGCGCAGCAGTCGGGTGAGATGCTGAAATCTCTGTTTTCTGGGGGAGGGAGACACATCGAGAGAATTTCTCCCGTCAGACAGCGGTTAAGGGGGGGCTCTCCGCTTCCTGCCTGAGTCACGCTTACCTGTCAGCTCCCCTCGAGTTAGGGAGCGATGCTCTATTGCATTTGGAACTGCTTTTTTTGCCTAGTGTCTCCTTTGGATGGTATTTAATTTGCTGTTATTCTTGAAGTAGCTCAAACGTGAAGCTACTTCATGTTTGGTTTAAAACCGTACATTTCCAGAGCCTAATGGCTACTTGCATCTTGGTCTTTAATGTCAACTTCTCTGTTCATTTGTCTGCTTTGGGGAGTCTGTCCTTCCCGTTCCTTTGCCTTCCCCCCACCCCGTCCCCATTCTGGTAGGTGCTTAGTGCTTGGTGTGATAAGCAATGGTGCACAGAACCCAGTGGTGCAGCTGCAGGCTGCCGGGAGGCTGCCCCACGACTCGGGAAGGGGGAGCTGTGGCCCTGCTCGGTGGGAGGATTTGCCTGACGTGCTGCTGTCTCCCGCGCAGGCGACCACAGGCTCGCTCTGCTCCTGGCCCAGCTGGCTGGTAGCCAGCCCCTCCGGGACCTCCTCACCATGCAGCTGGTGGACTGGCACAGGCTGCAGGCGGACTGCTTCATCCAGGAGGAGAGGCTGCGGATCTTCGCCCTGCTTGCCGGGAAGCCAGTGAGTTCTGCCACTCGGCTGTTCTGTCTTCCCCCTTCTGACAGCAGCACGCTCGAGCTCTGACGCTCCAGCACGGCACGTGCTACGCACTGGGAAGGGGGTACAGGACCTGTTTTTCTTATTAAATAACCTCATGCTGTTTCATGCCTGGTACGTATTGACCATCGTGCCATAAGTGTGACTAAACTTGGCGATTTGTTTCTTCAGGTGTGGCATTTATCAGAGAGAGTGTCAGTCAACGTGTGCTCGCTGCTGGACTGGAAGCGTTGCATGGCTGTCCACCTCTGGTACCTGCTTCCCCCCACAGCTTCCATTTCCAAAGCACTTGCCATGTACGAGTCGGCGTTTCAGGTACGTCGGTCGTGTCTGGGTGAAGCTGGGGATCTTAGTGCCGCCGACTGTCCCGTGCTGCCCCAAGACCTCTGTGAGCAGCCAGGGGTTGTTGTGGAGGTGCCGAGCGTGGAATTGCGTTCGGGTTCGTTATTTCACTTGTCACAGCTTCAGATTCCTTCCCTGGCTTTAGGGATGAGCTTTTCAGCAGCGCAGTTTGATAGGAATGCTCCTGCCCCTGCTGCAACTGGGAGGAGAGCACTGGGGTTGAACTTGCTGGTAATTCACTCAAGCAGCTTGGGCCCTGCTCTGCAGGGGCGCTTCAGGGTGTTCCGGTAGGGACTTAATGTGAAGTGACTTGTATGAGCCAGAGTGTGCCCAGGGGGGCAACGGCATCCTGGCTGGTGTCAGCACTGGCGTGGCCAGCAGGGACAGGGAAGGGATCTGAGCCCTGGGCTGGGCACTGGGGAGGCCGCCCCTCGATTCCTGGGTTCAGTTTTGGGCCCCTCACCCCAAAAAGGCCATTGAATGACTCGAGCGTGGCCAGAGAAGGGCAACGGAGCTGGGGCAGGGTCTGGAGCACAGGTCTGCTGGGGAGCGGCTGGGGGAACTGGGGGGGTT